ACCCCCATTTCACAGATGAGGAAACAGAAGTTCTAACAAGCAGTTTGATGTGACTCTGGATAACAGCTTTGAAGCCTTTTCCAGAATACTGGCATCAGGAGGTAGCTCAGCTGTGGGCAGGAAGCCAGGGGTATGTGCCCTTGTCCTCCTTCAAGGGATATGTGATTGCCATTCCCAGCTGGGTATTCAGGAGCCCCTCCATGGCACTCTTTGATCCTGGGTGTCTGATCCAGGTAATTGGCTGTCATGGCAACGTGGCTTTAAACAGGATGCCCATCTCTGTAAACCTCAGTAGGCTGCCTGGAACCATGTCTTCCTCCTAAAACACAGTTGCTGTGTGACCACTGGCATCTGATGCTGGCATAAAAATCTGTCAGTGCTTCCCACTGCCTTGGGGGTGGTCCCCACACACACACACATTGTCCATGTCTGAAAGAGTGGGCAGCTTGCCTGCACCATGGCTGGGTGGTGATACTCTATGACTGACATTCTTGTCTTTAAGATCTGCTAGTCCAGCTCTTTCGGGTCCTCTTTTCCAAGATGACGAAAAAAGAAGGAACAACGGTCATGCCAAAAAGGGCTGCAGTCAGGTGCAGTCTATTTGCTGCATGAACTGTGCCCAGTGCATACCCAAGGATGATGCTATTAAGAAGTTTGTCATTCGGAACATAGTGGAGGCCACCGCCGTCAGGGACATTTCCGAAGCGAGTGTCTTCGACAGTTATGTGCTTCCCAAGCTGTATGTGAAGCTGCATTATTGTGTGAGTTGTGCCATTCACAGCAAAGTGGTCAGAAATCGATCTCATGAAGCCCGTAAGGACCGAACTCCTCCACCCTGATTTAGACCTACTGGTGCTGCCCCACGACCTCCATCAAAACCCACATAAGGGGAGCTGGGTCTTAATGGACTGAAGAAAACTCTCTTGAGAAAGAAATAATAAATTGAATGTTATACTTTAAAAGAAAAAAAAAAAGATCTTGAACCTAGTCCGAGGTTCAAGAGCTGGGAGGGAGCATTGGAACACTGCAAGTCCTCAGCTTGCCCGGGCATGGAGCTCCATGGGCAGTGTTTAGGGTAAATATCTTACATACCCAACACTGGCATGGAGAAAGCCCTGGGAAGGAAGACAGTGTGGACACTTGTATGCACGGCTGCACTATTTCCTCTAGTGTCATACCCAGCATCGTGTTTTTGAGTTGAGTGCCAGATGTTGAAACTGCAAGTTTCAGTCTCAAGATAAAAATGCAACTGATCTTGATGCATCGAAATTCTGCCCCAGGTGCTGTGGGCAGCTCATGCTTCAAGGGCATGTAGGGACTGGGACCGAGGGCTACAGTGCAGGCAGTTATCTGCACCACTGTCCCGTTTGTGTGTAATTTTTTCATTTGTTTCTTTTCATCTTTACTATTCTTCTTATAATTTTTATAGGTCCTGTTTTTTAATTACGTGTTTTGCATATTCACAAGTTCATTAGCAAAATGATAAATTAAGTGAAAAACAATGACTTCATTATTTCCTTTTGGTTGTTGTTTGTTTTGGTAAGTGTCTCTATCTCGTTTTCGCAATGCCAATATGCCCCTTTTTTCATACAGTAACATCTGAGAGAAAATGAGAATATCTGAGTTGAAAGCAGTCCAGGAGATCTGGACTATGAATGTAAACAAGTTTTAGGTTTAACTTAAGCCGTGAGTTTCTAGTGTATTTTTCTTTTTATAGGACTCACCAGATTGTCACATCAAAAAGAAAGCTGTGAGATCTAATTGTGTCCGAGATGGCTCCTTCAATAAATATAAAATAAAGATTCTGAGTAATCAGAAAGTAGTTGCGTTATATTTTAATGGATAGCGCTTACCTCTTTCCTTTTTGGGTTGTAAATTGGAGCGTCTTACCATCGTTGGGACCTTGAAGCTGAAGAAATGTGAAAGCTAAGCACATGTTACTCCCGGGACTGTGGGGTTCCACTCCCCTTGAGAATGTGAGAGCCACGCCCACTTCAGAAGACTGTGAGGGCCACGCCCACAGGCCCAAGGAATTTAGCGCAGAATCTAGGTAGTGTGACTATAATCAGTAATTCATAGAATTTAGGGATAAGTGAGAGATCCTTGGATTACCAGGGAACTTCAGAACCAGGGAATTCCAATTTGAGGATTATGGAGCTGAGGGAACAAAAGAACTGCTGTTTTCCAAAAAGGAGAAGACACAGGAAGTGGAAGCCATTTGCCCAACATTTTCCAGCATCCAGAGGAAGAACAGAACTAACATTTGTATCTCCGGAGGAATCCTGGTCCATAGACAACTCTGCCGTCTAGTCCAGGGTGCTGACCAAATTGGAAGGTGGAGGTAGAGAGAAGTAGGGTCAAAAGAAAAGAAAGGGTGAGCATGTCAGAGACTGAGACCACAGGAGGGCCGTGGGGGGCAGTGTGTCAGCTTTGAAGCTCAGAAAAGCGGTGGCGAGGGTGAGGAGACCCCTCCCACCTTTCTTGCCAGCATCATCTCCTGCTGCACTTCACATCCCTTCCGAGGTCCCGCTTAAAATATCTTACTGGAGTCCATCACGAGCTCTCTCAACCTCTGTGCCTTTTTTTTCTTTCTTT